AAGTAATATTACGTAATATATCAAGTAATATTCAGTAATATTCACTCTATTAATCTTAATGCAAAATTTTACTCACGTACAGTAAGACGTGTATACAAAATATTGAGCTTGATGGATCAGTGATTATCGTTGCCTACCAAATGTGTCTATGTTGAGCGGTTTTCTCGTAATGCCCCTCAGGCCGCTTTATTACTCGCCACTCACGACTAGGACCAGGCGCAAGAGCAACCACGCCGAATAGGGGTAGCGGTTGGGCAGCATAGACCGCCGCCGCCGAGGCCGCCGCCGCTACTACATCAAGGCCTGCATCGTGCTGCTCACGCCCACCTCGCCCCCCATGCTGCGCGTCCCGTACAGGTGCGCCTCATCTTTGACTACTAGACCGCGTCTAGCTGGCCGCCGCGCGCGCCGCCACCCGCGGCTCCTACAACAAGGCTTGCAACGTGCTGCAGACGGACTACCCTGCCTGACCTCCAGGTGCACCTTGGTGGTAGGCAACATGCAGGCCCCTGAAATACTTGACTTTGTAACGGGTACGTTACATTTTTAGTCAGTGAACCCTGCGTTGCCTTGGCCGGCCGCGTGGGGACTCACTCGGTACCCTCGCCATTCCCTTAGCCGGCCGTGGCGAGGCGCCTGGCGGGTAGGCAGCCGCAATGCACATCAGTATTGCGGGCTGGCCTACCTTGCCCCTTGTCAGCTGAGCGGCGCGCGGCGCGCTGCTGGGCGGCGACGAGGTGCCTCTCGTTGCCGCCAGGTGCCGCTGCTCACGCTGTCTCTCCCTCTTCTCCCCGCGAGGTTTCCTGGCTGCTCTGGCGCCAGCTGATCGCTCTCTTATGCACCTGACTTGACAACGGCAACAACGGTAGTTTCCGTGTTTTGGCCGTCGTGCCTTGTTTTATCTTCCTGTTATTCTGGTAACTATCCGACCGTGTGGCACAGATAATCTGATTGGTTCATCGCAGCTCCATGTTATGTCTCGTAACTTTCTTGGTTCTATGATATTGTTGCAGTGTGTTGAGGATTCGTCACGTACTCACTCGCTGGAGTCGAGCTTGAGTTGGTGTATCGAGACGTGTGTTGAGTCGTCATGGTGTTGCCAGTCGATAAGACCGCGGTAATGGGCGGCTAAGGCCCTGTCGCACCCTCCTCCACGGGCTCCGCTCTGAACAACCACAAGATGTAACATCGGTGTCTCGCCTCCGGGCGAAACATAACCTCTACTGTCGTCTGCTGCTGCTGTCGGTCGTTGTACCATGTTCATGTTCATCGAGTCGTCGTCATCGTCCTGGTGGTAGGTGAAGCGAGACCGGCAGGCTGTGGTTAGCGGCCTGCTTCGCGGATCCTACCCCAGTAGGCTGTTTGTAATTGTATTGAGTAATAGTAGGGTCCACACGCACTGATATTGAATAAAGTTATTCCTTGTTATTTGGCGGAGTTACTTTACTCCCTGCGCTCACTCAATATGTCAGGGGTGCAGCGGCCCCGTGCCCTTTGCGCCTGCCACTTAGGCAACCCATCTGACTTCCCCTGCTCTCCGGCGAGATTCTCAGCCGCCGCCGACCCCCTCCGCCAGCAACTGACACGGAGACAGCCAGCGCTGTGCCTAGCAGAAGACCCCCCACCTCTCCTCCCCTCGCCCGACCAGCGAGCGAGAGCGAACGCGCCGGA